AATAAGGCAAGGGCAAATATTCCTCATCCCATGCATGATTGACATACCATCCAGGAACAGTTCAGCAAGTATATACTGCATGCAAGCCAAGCTTAACACTGAGGGTTAATTATAATTTTTCGTTGTAATATATATATATCATTATTCTTCTTCAACCTCACGTTTTCATTCATTTATAGTTTTAGTTGAGTTCGTATACACAGATAAATATTTTGAACAAAATAATATGACTATATAGCACGGCTCATTCAATACTTCATGTTGCCCCTAATTGTGGATATAGATTCATCATGCAGTTATTTGGAATAGATCAAAGACTTCAGAACTGAGGAACACGAAAAACCCCTGGTATTTCGAAAGCTACAAAATTCCAGTTACTTATATAGTCAAGGAGTAAAGGTTAGAATTTTCAATAGGCATTGCTAAAACAATTCTGAATCAGACTGAGTTCTCTATATGCATGAGAAAAGAAGATTCCATAACCTTTTAATGAATAATGATTTTTATTTAAAGAATTCTTGTTCAGCTAACTATTACATGATTTCCATCGCATAAATTGACGAACATATTGGTTATATTAGACTATTAGTCCAAATCAAGACATCGTCATGAAATTACAGTAAGCTATACATATGAAGTCGTTTCTTCTTGGCGGTCCTCTGCCAATAGTCAATTTTTCAGATCTACATATGATGGTTTTTGTTTGATTAATTAATTTGCTACCATTTAATTTTATATAACTGTGAATGGTCATGTTCTAATTCCATACTATAATTACTGTGAATTAAAATGAGTTTTTCACTTTTTAATTAAACGGTCATCACTCCAAACACTAAAACAGTAAGAGAAACCTTTTCTAATCTACATCCTAAGTTATAAACGTATAAAGAAGTATATATAATATCAAACCACGCTATTTCTCATTCAAACGCAGCCAAAGGTACACAAAAATATCATATACTTGAGAAAGCTATTCAGTTGATTAGTTACTCAAATACGTCACTAGTTTAGAAGCTAATTACTTTTTCTACCTATTGAATTTTCTATCAAACTTATGTATTGTATGAGACAAATGCTGAGAATTATGCGTGGTTATTTCCAAGTATCATTGTCCGTTATCCAGTTCCATTCGTTTTTGATAATGCGCAGTCAAGGCTATATAATTAAAATAAAATAAAGTTGTACCTGGTGGTGGGTGGGAATGAAATATATCGCTTAGATATTTTAGTGGAAATTCCTCAATTTAATTTAATTAAAGTATATGGATCATGATGTAGCACTCGAGAGTACAATGAACAATTGTTAACAGTACACAATATGATGACCCTAAATAGTAAATAACGTTTCTCAATTTAAGCAGGTAATGAATCATTACCTCTGCCCATCCATGGAAAATAATATGTTTTCATTACGTTTGCATGTGCGTCTGCATGTGCGTCTGTCTGTCTGTCTGTCTGTCTGTCTGTCTGTCTGTCTGTCTGTCTGTCTGTCTGTCTGTCTGTCTGTCTGTCTGTCTGTCTGTCTGTCTGTCTATCTATCTGTCTATCTATCTGTCTATCTATCTATCTATCTATCTATCTATCTATCTATCTATCTATCTATCTATCTATCTATCTATCTATCTATCTGTCTGTCTATCTGTCTGTCTGTCTGTCTGTCTGTCTGTCTGTCTGTCTGTCTGTCTGTCTGTCTGTCTGTCTGTCTGTCTGTCTGTCTGTCTGTCTGTCTGTCTGTCTGTCTGTCTGTCTGTCTGTCTGTCTGTCTGTCTGTCTGTCTGTCTCTGTCTGTCTGTCTGTCCGCCAGCACGATAACTTCAATAATATAAACGTATCAATACGAACATTTTTGGGACTGATGACATTACCCAAGGACAAACTGGACAATTTTTGGATTTGGATGAAACTTGAATGAGAAGTTAGCAAATGTTTCGTCTTGTTTTGCCATTCAGAGTAAACTGAATGCGTATAAATAGCTCATGTACTGCATAATTTATGCATGATAGCTACATAATTTAATTCGCTGGCGGTGGTGGTATGCAGTCTCTGTCTGAGTGCCCTCTATAGTTAATTTCGAGGTTAATTTGCGCATCACTGAATCTTTATATCTAAATTTTCCGAAAAATTATCAAGCTATTCATAAAGTTATATTATATATTTTTTAACTTTCAGGTTTAGTTTTATTTCGTTGTATTATTGATTGAGATTATCATTCTTCAAATTATTTCTTTATTATTTCAGTTACCAATATTCATTTCCTATTCGAATCGTTAATTTTCAAGTATTTTCATGGTAAGGTAATGTTACATATTAGGGGTATGTTACATATACGGGCAATATTTAATGACAGAGGAAGTGACGTTTTCAAGTTAATTTAAACCTTATGTTACATATAGGGGCAGGGGTGAAAACCTTATCTAACACTGATATAGGAGTAACACCTTATGTTATATATAGGGGAAGGTGTAAAAATCTTACCTTAAACTGATATAGCTAGGGGTGAACACCTTATGTTACATATAGGGGCAGGGGTGAAAACCTTATCTTACACTGACATAGGAGTGAACACCTTATGTTATATCTCACAGGTTCGATTCCCACCGTGGCCGGGCATATTTTTCAAGCTCGTCCGGTGTGGATATACACTCAGAGTAACATCACAAACATAATTCAATAAAGGTTGTCCTTTGCAAACCTTAAACTCTAAAACCTTAAAGTCTAAGCACGCAAAGCGTGATGGGAGCACATTTAAGCAGTTTAGAAAGCATATATGGAGCCCATTTCTCAGAAACATGGTAAGTATCTCCCTGCGAAAACATTTCACTCACAAAGAGCTGCAATATACAACTACTAAGCTTGAAATTTGTGCTCCCATTATGCTATGCGCGCTTAGAGTTTAAGGTTTAAGATTTAGAGTTTAAGGTTTGCAAAGGACAACCTTTTTGAAATATATATATATATATATATATATATATATATATATATATATATATATATATATATATATATAATTTTAGTTTTATTTCGTTTTCTTCAACTATTTTTTCTTTATTCCTTCAATTATCAATTTTCATTTCTTATTATAATATTTTGTTTTTAAATAATGTTAGCCAAATTGATTACGCAAATGTTAAATTGAACATCTTTCCTCTTAGCTAATATATAATTTATTGTTTCGGTAACTCACCATTTTCAAATATTTAAAAGAAATATCTGATCTGTTGATCATCTGATAACATACGCTTTCCGCGTTTTGATAATCGACATCCCAAATGACATGACTTATTCTTTTTATCACACACACTGACTCTGCAGTGAACACGTGTGTTGTAATGATGTAAGCCACGGAAACGGAATACTAGGAAACTAAATCTTGTTGTTTGTCCTGATGATTTATGAAATGTCACTGTCTTGTCTTTTTGGCATCTACATGAAGATATGCACGAAATAAAATGAATTAATTTTCAGTAATTTGCAGTATGATATTTGAGGGCTATTTATACATGAGGCAATTGCATGGGTTTACAAAATTGCTTTCTTTGTTATCATGGCATGTAATAATAATTTAACACTTACGCTTACAGGTTGCGAAATGTACGCTATATACATGCAGGTTGCGAAAATCTGATTGTTATTAAAAAAATATTAATAATATTAATTAACATTAATTAGCTGACTCCCGCACTTACTTATATTACCTCTTAGGCTCTTAAGCCTATAGACTATTTAATGCTAAATGTAATTTGGGGGCTATTAAAATATATGTCGATTATAACTATATAATTTTCAAGATTGCTTTGTTTGTTATCATTTTGAAGAGGTTGCATGCAAACAATAATTTTCAAGAGGTTTAATAATATCAAACAATCTTTGAAACAATGAAAGTAAAGGAGGGATTCTGAGGAATATGCAGCAACAGTATCACATATTTTTAATAAATATTCTCTGAGGAATGCTTCTTCACAGAAAGATTCTTTCCGCTAAGAAGTTTAACTGCTCAATCATTCACTCGCTCTGTGTTGGAGAAACACAGCTGCACAAAGCCATTAATTTACTTGGGTGTTTGAAAAGGAAACTTTTATCATTTCGAGATATTTTACTATTGTCGTAGTTGACCTACCCTCGTTCAATCAAAACATATTTATATTCAGCCAAGGAACTTTTTGCAGTGACGTAACATTCATTTAACTTGATTCCAAAAGATAACTCATCAGAATTTGTGTTTGTCGTGTTCAGGCCAATTTCAACATACAGACGTTGGTTTAGCGAAGGATCTCCAACAAGTGGTTCACTAAATGACTGATCTTTGTAAAGTCCCACCATCAACGATATTTTATCTTCTTTGCTGGCGTTGTTTGGTGCGATTATAAGGTCAGCAAGACCAAATGTTGAGGATGAGACAAGATAACTTTGAGGGTAGTTACACTTGAAAGGAAGTTGGATTTCTTTAGATCTTGAAATGGATTTATTAAATGCTGACAATCTTTCCACAACTTTGTTATGAAATGAAACTGTTTTGCCGCCATTTTCCGTCGTCATAGTCGTACCACACCCGGTGAGTGAAGTAGTAAAGATGTAATACGACTTCGTCTCTTGAGGTTTGCATGAACTGTCGAGTAGTTGTAGTTGTGAGGGTGAAGAAACGTTGAGACGTGATTTCTGAATAACTATCTTCATTTTATTCTCACCACAGGTTAGTTCACTTAGATCTGTCGCTATTGAAAATAATATTATTTAATGAAGAAAAATGCACTACAAATCTAAAGGATTATTTTGTGTGTGTTGCAGGTGTTATGTACTCAGGTGAATATATGATGTTTGTGATGTTATTCTGAGTGTGCATCCACACCGGGCAAATCATAGGATACACTGATATTGAAGGAACTAGACTCAGTCCCGAAATATCATCAACTCGAACCGACTTGACCATGCAGCTCAGTATATATATATATATATATATATATATATATATATATATATATATATATATATATATATATATATATATATATATATATATATATATATCTC